AATCATACTGTTGACACGTAAGCTATGGTGTAATGGAATCTTTTGCCTTTTGTGGTGAGTTTTGACACTCATGTAGGTGTCATAACCAGCCGTAAAATAACTACCGTGGTACTATAGGTTTTTGAGTTTTTACACTCTTATGTAGGTGTCATAACCAGCCATAAAATAACACAATATGTCACAACAGCTCTAAAATATGTGTCATGACAGTGTTATGAACATATTATAACAGGATATGACATGGTTATGATTGTGTCATAACGTGTTATGACGCTGGGTGTCAAGTAAAGTGTTACCAATGTTCATATGGGTAGACCTGTGTCCATCTTTCATAACAAGAATGGCTCAGATCTATACCTCTTTAATGAAAGCCACCGAATATCAGCAGTGTACCAGATGGATTTGAGACAAGTAGATTTACAGCACTGTGATGAGTATAGGATGGAACAATTATAATTTTTCAATTAACAGATACAATAACCAGTTTAAAAGTGTATCTGAGCAAAGCACACACTCATCTGTTACTTTGTAAATTTCCAAACTGTACCCTGTACATGTTCACTGTAATGTTTGTTAATTAAAATGCATTGACTTTGATGAGATAAGCCTTTCAAAATCAAAATATACTACACATCTTAATCATCACAAAAGTGGCAAAACAGAATGAAGTTCAGATGTGCACAGACTGCTCTGATGAAACAAAGGCTGACTATGTTATTTAGCTTCAATCATTCTTGATTCTACATAGCTTTTTAAAAGTCATAATTTGTAATAGAGCAACCTGATTGATTGATTTACTCATTCTCTACCTGTTTATAGCATGGTGTTGTTGAATACCCGTTTCTGATTGGCTTGAAGGGCATTCTAGAGCGTGCATTATTTAAGTGATAATTCCCGAGAAGCCGTTGTTTGGAGGATGTATTGACATTGGCCGGAAAACCGTGCCAATATATCCTCCAAACATTATCACTTTCATACAACGGGTTACTAACATATTCAAATAATGATTGATATATTTTCATTAACGTTATTTTGATGAATATATTCATACCATTTCATACTTCCACGAGATATAGTTCCGGCACAAATCTAGGGTTGCTACCCAAGCCAGCTGGTCATTCATTCTATCGGTTCGGTTGCCAGAGACGCGACCCAGTCGTTCAGTCTTTTTGTTCTAAATCTATGGACGCGACCCAGTCCTTCGTTCTAAATGTGCCGTTGCCACGATGGCTGGCAAAGTTCTTATCCCTTGCTTGCTAACTAGCCAACTTTGGCTAACACAGTAACGTCAAACAGTGCAGCCAGAATAACAGCAAAGTAGTACATTTGCATAAACTGTTTTCTGGTGACGTTTATTTGGATACATCCATAACAATGAGCTAATGATGCGTAATTCCACCTGGTACATAGAAAATGTGCTCTCTCGTCAGGACACTGCTGTTCAGAGGAGCTAGCCAACAACACAGCTAACACAATCACTTCAAACTGAAGCTTGAAAGACTGCAAACTAGCTGCATTTCGTTTTGTTTTATATTTACATTGATTTGTATATATCCATAAAAATTATGCTGATTCATGATTTTGACTGGCTGAGAAAAGCTGCCTGCCTGTCTGTCTGTCTCGTCCCGACTCCACATGTGCAATACTATGGGACAGCTGAAGATATTGAAGCAATTTTGAAATGTCAGAGAGACAGACAGCAAGGTTTATACAAATCTCCGCTATTGAAAACCAATTGCTAGTCTAAAAGAAATGGTAGATAATGTCTACATGCTTTTTACTGTGGAGATAAAGTTTATAAATTGTCTGGCTGGGCTGATGAAACAGTGGTTGTAGTGAGATGAAACAGAGTAAATAAGCATTTCAACGTCATTTTAAATGGGAATTTGTGGAATAGACACCGGCTGGAATGCGGTTTTAACCAATCAGCGTCCAGGATTAGACAGCGTACAGTATAATCCAATGGCTATGAAGTTCATTCGTCTATGTTTGAGCAGCTTTTGAAAGCAAAAGTCGAATTGAAAACATTGCCATTGTTGAAATCGATTTTAATAATAGTAAGCTAGGACTGATGGTTTGGTTAGCTAAACTAGTAAAGTATGTTTGTTTGCTTACCAAAGCAACTACTGTAGCTATCTGGTAATCTTGCTAGCTACTTCAGTGGTTGAATACATTTTTACCTGCAAATGAGTAAAATTATAGCTGTGGTATAAACGGGATTGTCAATAATGCACAACGTGGAAGATGTGTGCCACGATGGGTAATGTGTGACTTGCTACGTAATGTGTGTATGAACATAAAGTTAACAAAACCAAAATCTCAAATTTACACTGAGTATACCAAACATTAGGAACACCTTCCTAATTCGTCGGCGCGTGGACTCTACAAGGTGTCGAAAGCGTTCCACAGGGATGCTGACCCATGTTGACGCCAATGCTTAAAGGCACATTTTTTTGTCTTGCACATTCACCAACTGAATGCCACACATACACAATCAATGTTCAATTGTCTCAAGGCTTAAAAATCCTTCTTTAACCTGTCTTCTCCCCTTCATCTACACTGAAGTGGATTTAACAAGTGACATCAACAAGGGATCATAGCTTTCACCTGGTCAGTCTGCCATGGAAAGAGCAGGTTTTATTAATGTTTTGTATACTCAGTGTATGTAACAGATATCAAATATGCTTGAGCATACGATAAAATTACATTGAGATGCAACCTCTGTGAAACAACATGTACTGCTGCAAAAATAAACAAACAAATTTCATTTTATAGTCAAAATCATTGAAATATTGATTTAATTGATAGACTTTTGCCAACTCAGTTAAGACATTTTTAAATCTTTAAAAACATGTCAGGGTCATTCTTGCCAATAAAAAAATGCTGTGTAGAAAGTGCTTTTAATGATTCTAACGTTTTTAACTAAAACATTCTTAGCCTTGAACATTAACCTCAAATCATGTATGATTCCCCACAGATTTAAGGTTTCACGCTCCCCCAAAGCTGTTCTTCCACCTTGACAGTTGCTCCAATATTTATTCCTTTAAAGCAGGGCTGCCCAACCCTCTTCCTGGAGATCTACCATCCTGTGGGTTTTCAGTCCAACTCTAATTTAACACACCTGATTCTACTTATTAGCTGCTCAACAAGACCCTAACTAGCTGAATCAGATATGCTAAATTAGGGTTGGACTGAACCTACAGGACAGTAGATCTCCAGGAAGAGGGTTGGGCAGCCCTGCTTTAAAGGGTTTCTGTAAAAGTGTTATATTTTTTCTTGAACTTTTTCATAATTTTTCCTCTGTGACATCAATATAGGAGCCCTGATTGATCTCTCAATGCAAAAATATGAAGGACTAAACTTTCTATTTACAATTCTGGTGACCATCTACAACCTGTTGTTTCAGTTACAAGTGTGACACGTCAGCACAGACATCTTCATCATCATTCCCACCAGAGGTTTTAGTCCATCATCCTCCTCACACACACATAATTTCTCCAAAATTGCTTTTGATCCTTTCAGAGCTCTTCTTTGTCTGTGTGCAGTTATTGAGGACAGTCTGAATCCTTATATTCATCCCCTTTATGTCCTTCAAACAATGCAACAACTTCAGCTCTGTCTACACATCAGACACCATGCAAGTGAGAAGAACTGCATTTGAAATGTTTTCATTGGTGAATCCTAGGTCTTTTTAATTAATATAGATCTATATTTATATTTTATATACTTGATGTGATGCTAGTATTCACTCAAGATAATACAATGCTTTGTTTTTATATTAGCAAATATTCAAGATTAAAACATTCTTGAATGTCTTCTCTCATATACGTCTAAAGAGAACAAAATAAATTAAATCAGTTTTGTACATACTTACATGATATGAAATAACGTAGTGTTTTCCTTTAATTTATGTATAATGATATTGAACATGATAACAGAGTAAAGGATTGCTGTAGTTGAAATAATCACACTGGTTCCCCTTGTAGTCGGGACAGTTGTTACAGAAAAATAAATGTTGGCGCAGAATTAAAAATGTTGTTTAAAAAATGAACCAACAAACATAAAACAACATATTGTACTTCATATTGTAAAGTTCAAGGACAACATTGATATGTCCTGTATCAAAACATATCTGTATTTGTAATGATTGATATAATTAAAAAAGGTAAACATAAAATACCATTTGCCACAGTTTGTAAATATTCTTAAAAAATACCCTAACCTCTTAGAGGGCAGATTAAAAAAACAAGCGACTTCAGCATTACGCAACATGAAAATATATACACACTTACTTCAAAATCAATAACCAAAAAAGCAAAAATCTTAACAAGACTGGGACTCTCAAGAATCTGAACTAGACTGGGACTCTCAAGAATCTGAACTAGACTGGGACTCAATAATCTGAACTAGACTGGGACTCAAGAATCTGAACTAGACTGGGACTCTCAAGAATCTGAACTAGACTGGGACTCAAGAATCTGAACTAGACTGGGACTCAAGAATCTGAACTAGACTGGGACTCTCAAGAATCTGAACTAGACTGGGACTCAAGAATCTGAACTAGACTGGGACTCTCAAGAATCTGAACTAGACTGGGACTCTCAAGAATCTGAACTAGACTGGGACTCTCAAGAATCTGAACTAGACTGGGACTCTCAAGAATCTGAACTAGACTGGGACTCTCAAGAATCTGAACTAGACTGGGACTCAAGAATCTGAACTAGACTGGGACTCTCCTATCTCATCATCTACACATGGAGCTCCTCCCATTCTAATCCTACACTTCACTAACCCGTCACCTGCTCTTGCCAATTTTAGGTGCTTTTGTTTTTGAACTAGCAACAACATCACACAAAATCAGCGAGCGCCTGGGTCTAGGACTCACGTCCTCTCCTCATCTCTCTCACTGCTCTCAGAGACCAGAGGTCCTGCTGCATTGCACGGTCCGTCCATAAGGCCTTGTCTATGGTCTAGCAGGTCTACAGATGGCAGGCTATAGGCTACATGTTATAGGCCACGTATATGGGGTCCAGCTGGTCGGCCAGGAAGCCGTCACGGAGGTGCATTCTCTGCTTCTCTCCCCGAGAGTTGATGGGGATGACCCCAATGTCCACCACCACCACCACCCCCACGATCAGGTAGTGTTCCTCAAGAACCACGTTGGTCACCAGGGGAACAAGGTCCAGGGCCTCCTGCTCCGAACCATCCAACTCCACCACCACCACCAGGAGGTTGGTCCATGTGAACACCGCACTGAAACAACAAAGTACTTAGTCAAGAAGGCACTGAAACAACATACAGTACTTAGTCAACACCACAATGAAACAACAACATACAGTACTTAGTCAACACCACACTGAAACAACATAAAGTACTTAGTATGCCACACTGAAACAACAATATACAGTACTTAGTCAACACCACACTGAAACAACAAAGTACTTAGTCAACACCACACTGAAACAAAGTACTTAGTCAACACCACACTGAAACAACAACATACAGTAAGAGTAAGTACTTTGCATGTTGTAAGTACTTAGCTAGCTACTCACTCTGGCATTTCAACAAACACATTCAGTACAATACTTAGTTTATCTAGGGCATTTCAATTGGTCAACATTAACAATTTGAAATTGGACAAAATCAGCATGATATTTGAACAGAAAGGACATTTCTTTTGATAGAATGCCCATAGTGGTGAGCTACGCCATCCACCCACCAGAACTAGAAATCCTCAAGCTATTTTTCATGGTGCAGAAACACGGGACACAGGCAGAATGTTATTTAAAGTGCATTCAGAAAGTATTCAGACCCCTTGACTTTTTCCACATTTTGTTACGTTACAACCTTATTCTAAAATGGATTAAATCGTTTCCCCCCCCCCCCCCTCATCAATCTACACACAATACCCCATAATGACAAAGCAAAAACAGGGTTTTTAGACATATATATATATTTATTTTATTTTACATTTTAGTCATTTTAGTAGACGCTCTTATCCAGAGCGACTTACAGTTAGTGACTGCATACATTTTCATACTGGCCCCCCGTGGGAAACGAACCCACAACCCTGGCGTTGCAAGCGCCATGCTCTACCAACTGAGCTACAGGGGACAGAACGGAAATATCACATTTACATAAGTATTCAGACCCTTTAACTCAGTACTTTGTTAAAGTACCTTTAACAGCGATTTCAGCCTTGAGTCTTCTTCGGTATGACGCTACAAGCTTGGCACACCTGTACTTGGGGAGTTTCTCCCATTCTTCTCTGCAGATCCTCTCAAGCATTGTCAGGTTGGATGGGGATCATTGCTGCACAGCTATTTTCAGGTCTCTCCAGAGATATTGGATTGGGTTCAAGTCCGGGCTCTGGCTGGGCCACTCAAGGACATTCAGAGACCTGTCCCGAAGCCACTCTTGCGTTGTCTTGGCTATGTGCTTAGGGTTGTTGTTCTGTTGTGGCTTCCGTCTGGCCACTCTACCATAAAGGCATGCACTGTCACCTGTGGGACCTTATATAGACAGGTGTGTGCCTTTCCAAATCATGTCAAATCAATTGAATTTACCACAAGTGGACTCCAATCAAGTTGTAGAAACATCTCAAGGATGATCAATGGAAACAGGATGCACCTGATCTCAATTTCGAGTGTCATAGCAAAGGGTCTGAACACTTATGTAAATAAGGTATCTGTTTTCACTTTGTCATTATGGGGTATTGTGTGTACAGTCGTGGTCAAAAGTTTTGAGAATGACACAAGTATTGGTCTTCACAAAGTTTGCGGCTTCAATGTTTTTAGATATTTTTGTCAGATGTTACTATGGTATACTGATGTATAATTACAAGCAAAGGCTTTTATTGACAATTACATTATGTTTATGCAAAGAGTCAATATTTGCAGTGTTGACCCTTCTTTTTCAAGACCTCTGCAATCCGCCCTGGCATGCTGTCAATTAACTTCTGGGCCACACCCTGACTGATGGCAGCCCATTCTTGCATAATCAATGCTTAGAGTTTGTCAGAATTTGTGGGTTTTTGTTTGTCCACCCGCCTCTTGATGATCGACCACAAGTTCTCAATGGGATTAAGGTCTGGGGAGTTTCCTGGCCATGCACCCAAAATTTCGATGTTTTGTTCCCCGAGTCACTTAGTTATCACTTTTGCCTTATGGCAAGGTGCTCCATCATGCTGGAAAAGGTATTGTTCGTCACCAAACTGTTCTTGGATGGTTGGGAGAAGTTGCTCTCGGAGGATGTGTTCGTACCATTCTTTATTCATGACTGTGTTCTTAGGCAAAATTGTGAGTGAGCCCACTCCCTTGGCTGAGAAGCAACCCCACACATGAATGGTCTCAGGATGCTTTACTGTTGGCATGACACAGGACTGATGGTAGTGCTCACCTTGTCTTCTCTGGACAAGCTTTTTTCCGGATGCCCCAAACAATCGGAAAGGGGATTCATCAGAGAAAATGACTTTACTCCAGTCCTCAGCAGTCCAATCCCTGTACCTTTTGCAGAATATCAGTCTGTCCCTGATGTTTTTCCTGGAGAGAAGTGGCTTCCTCGCTGCCCTTCTTGACACCAGGCCATCCTCCAAAAAGTATTCGCCTCACTGTGTGTGCAGATGCACTCACACCTGCCTGCTGCCATTCCTGAGCTGAATCAGCTGAATCAACCTTAGGAGACGGTCCTGGCGCTTGCTGGACTTTCTTGGGCGCCCTGAAGCCATCTTCACAACAATTTAATCTCTCTCCTTGAAGTTCTTGATTATCCGATAAATGGTTGATTTAGGTGCAATCTTACTAGCAGCAATATCCTTGCCTGTGAAGCCCTTTTTTGTGCAAAGCAATGATGACGGCACGTATTTCCTTGCAGGTAACCATGGTTAACAGAGGAAGAACAATGATTTCAAGCACCACCCTCCTTTTAAAGCTTCCAGTCTGTTATTCTAACTCAATCAGCATGACAGAGTGATCTCCAGCCTTGTCCTCGTCAACACTCTCACCTGTGTTAACGAGAGAATCACTGACATGATGTCAGCTGGTCCTTTTGTGGCAGGGGTGAAATGAGTGTAAATGTTTTTTTGGGATTATGTTCATTTTCATGGCAAAGAGGGACTTTGCAATTAATTGCAATTCATCTGATCACTCTTCATAACATTCTGGAGTATATGCAAATTGCCATCATAAAAACTGAGGCAGCAGACTTAGAGAAAATTAATATTTGTGTCATTCTCAAAACTTTTGACCACGACTGTAGACAGATGAGGATTTTTTATTTATTTAATCAATTTTAGAATAAGGTTGTGAAAATGTGAAAAAAAGTGAAGGGGTCTGAATACTTTCCGAATGCACTGTATGTAGCCTTATGAAATGAGTTACAGTTCTCACCATTCTGTGATGCTCTTGTGTGTCCTGATGACGGAGGTCTCAATGTCGATGGGGTGGTACCTCATTCCCCTCAGCTCCATAGCCTCATCCAGCGCCCCCACCACGTACAGGGCATCGTGTCGCTCTGCGCTCACAAACACACACACAGTTTCAAAAACTTCTGACAATGTATGTTGACCTCGCCAGTAAAACAGTGAAAGTATGCAGTAATAAGTACATTTGGTAGTGAAGGGAACAGTTAACGTACCCCCGCTGGCGTCGGTCAGTTCGGTCCTCCTGAGGAAGCCCAAGTAGCCGGTGCGGGTCCAGATTGTCTGTGTGTCTCCAAAGCTCAGACGGGAATTAAAGTGATCAGACTGCAGTGCCTCATCTCCATACACCGTGAAGTAGCCGCTGGCATTGTGTCCACTGCACACCCAGATCTGTGGACAGGACAGCAATTAGAAGTTATTTGCTTTTCCATTGAGGACCACTTTTGAAACAAGTGTTTTAATGCTTTCACATGCTATCCTCTGGGGATCCAATGCACGTCTAGTTGGATTATTTTTACCCAAATCAACTCAGCACAACTCTGCTCTGGACTTCTATTGTAGTGCATCTGTCCACAGACCAATCCAGCGACAACTGTGTACTTTTAGACCAATTACACAACACTTACTGAACTTAGCATTAGACTGGATAAATCGAAGATATTAACGTGTGTGGAAGTTATGTGGACTGGCTTTTTAAGTACACAGAGAGACTATTGTAGTTTAGTCTAATGAGAGAGTACACATCCAATGAGGTATGACACTTAAAGTACAGAGATAGACTGTTTTGTAGCCTAATGTATTGTAGTTTGTATGGATTCTAATGCGAGAGTGATTATGTCTGAACCGACCTCTCCAAGATGCGAGTCTCCCAGCGGTCCCTTGGTCTCCGGGTTGGCGATGATAATTCGAACCCCAGGTAGAATCTGATGGCATTAAGGATGAGACGATTAGTGCATTCATCTCTCCACTCCTCTCTCCTTTCCACTCCTCTCTCTCTCCCCCTTCAGCGAGGCCCTTTATATAATTGATTTACCGCCGAGCCCTGAGTAGAGTGGACTGAAGTGGCCCACTCTCTCTCTCCTAGTATGTGGCCCAAATGGTACCCTAATTCTATATAGCGCCATTTGGGACGCAACCACAGACTGTGTAACAATGTTGCAAGAAATAAAAGCCTTATTATTGAGTGACAGACTGATCTTGATCTCCTGTCTGGTCCCTGTGAAACACAGAACAGAGCACAGCAGAGCAGAGCGCTGTCTGGCCCGGAGTTCACTTAACTCTCACCTACACTTCCTCAATTATAGGGACGGGTTGCTGTGGAAACTAACTACACGACTAGACTAATAAAGCACAGCACAGCACTAACAAACAGTTTACACTACAGTTTAGTCTCAGTGATTAAAAATACTTCAGTGTACAGTATGTCTATGTAAATGACTACCATTTGTTTATTCATTCACCAAGTCAGGCAGGGACTCACCTTTCCAGATTCCATGAGTGGTAAGCTGTGTGGAGACCCTCTCTCTACCAGACGAACCCTGTGAGGGAGGAAGTGAAGAGTTACTGGGCTGCTGAGTCAATACTGTGGTACCGTCCCAAATGGCACCCTATTCCCTATATAGTGCCCTACTTTTGACTAGAACCCTATGGTAATAGGGAGCCATTTGAGACACGCACTGTGAGTAAGCACGTCAACTGGCTTGCTCTCCTTATTGAGCACTCCTCAATAGATCACATTCTGAAACCTTTTATTTCACGTTTCATCAATGCAGCAGCTTTATACTACAAATGACAGTATACTGAACTTTCAACACAAACACAATAGCTACATCCCAGGGAGGACAGTGGTGGAGACTAAATAGCTACATCCCAGGGAGGACAGTGGTGGAGACTAAATAGCTACATCCCAGGGAGGACAGTGGTGGAGACTAAATAGCTACATCCCAGGGAGGACAGTGGTGGAGACTAAATAGCTACATCCCAGGGAGGACAGTGGTGGAGACTAAATTGACTGTCTAGAATCACACCGTGTGAGCTGTGGGGCCCAGTGTGCAGCATGTTGTTATGTGTCCCTGCCAGGGCTGGTGCCAGAACAAAATCAGTTGGACGGGCATTTGATTTCTATAAGGGGGCACGTTTTTTTAATGGGCCCTCTTATGTGTGCACGCGCACACGTTTTTTAAACACTATAACCGCTGGGCCTCGAGGGACCCCCGTTTAAGCTAATGAGCAGTCATTCTGACTGCAATATTCTAGCAGTGGAATTAATACATTTCATTTATGCTATCGCAAAAATAATTTGGTCTTAGGTAACATTAGAATGCGAAAACAAATGTATTTCAAATAAAACAAAAGCATTTTCATTTGTTTACTGTAGGATAAATGTAAAAAAATATATATATTATTATTATTAAGTGTTCAATCCCTATCCGCTGCAGGCTGGGGCCTATTGATCTGTTGATTGGGTGTGGGATGTTCTAGGGTGATACCCTACCCAGACCCACTGTTCTAACCCCGAGCCCTCTTTCTAATCTTAAAGTCAGCCGTTGGGACACACGTGTCACAAGGAATGTGTCTGGCTCCAACTTTTATGCACACAATGCAGTGAAACTATTCCACTGTAAATGGCCATTGCAGAGGTAATGGGTCTTCAATGTCATGTCAGCATGATCTAAGATATTGTTCTGGTTTGTGAGCAACATTTTGTTGGCATCCTTCTGATTCTGAATAGCTTATATTTATCATATGTAGGCCACTGACAGATGATATACTATAACAAATTCACCACCAACTTGATTTACTATAGCTGTTTTAAAATAATTGATGATAACACAGTTAAACATGGACTTATTCAACAAATGATCAAAAGGATGTTCTGATAGGAGCATGCCCTTACCTGTCGTGCCTCAGTGCCCTCATGTCCACATACACAGTAGTTGGGTCTGGTCCTGAAGTACCCTGCAGAATGACAACATGCCAGGGTTAGTGTCCGAGCTAGGATGTCGGTTACACTACATTACCACTAACACAGCACTATCTAGATGCTACTAGCACTAGCATTTTAGTGGGCAACAAAAAGCCTACAGTTCACACTGGTTGCGAATGGAAGCTTTGAGACAAGTCCAACAAACAATACAATGACGAAACTATTCTAGAAAAGATTAATACTGGGCTACTAGCTACAACACTCAGACTGAGATCACGGTGGTGGAGGAGAACAGTGAGGAAGCATGAAGGCATTAAAACTCAACCAAAAGAACAGGACAGAGCAGAAGTCAAATGACAAAGTGCATCACAAAACAGTCAGAGGTCAGATCCAGTATGATCCACATCATGCAAACAGAAAGAAGCCACAAAACTAAACAAAAAAATATTTTGTTTAAGAGGAAAGGTAGGGAGGGAGGGAGGGAGATGTGAAAACCACTGAGGGAGGAGAAGAGAATACATGGCCAGATGGAAGGAGCAAGAGAATTGAGTGGAGGTGGGCATGGTGATATACTGAATCATGTCTGAATGACACTTCAAATACATGAGCATACACAATCTGTATTTGTCCCTTTCAATAACGTAGAAGGCTTTAAAACCTGGTAGTTCAGTAGAGGCTTGACTGGCCAGACACGAGAGTCAAAGCCCACAGTAGAAAACCCACAGACAGACAAAACAACCTAATGTCAACATACATTACACCAGGCACATAGGCACCAACTTCAACAGTAGTGTGTGTGTGTGTGGTAGCAACAGTATATTTCTATCTAATAGGTTAGTGAACACCTAAAAAACTAATTGGAAGAATAAAGAGAAAAGTGCAAACAATCGCAGAATCTAATTTGCATTTACTTGATTCCACTCTTCCCCAGCCTAGCTCTTGTCCAAGGCGTTACGTGCGGCTTGCTGATGCTGAGCCTTCCTCAACGCACTGGACCAGAGCTATCCCCAATCCAGCCCCCTCCCCAGGCAGATTGTGTTACACCCGTGATTCAGTAGCATGTATTAATAGCGTGGCTAAGGCTTTGGCAGAGGAAGCAGCACCACCCAACACCCGCCACCATAGCAGAGACAACCATAGAGCTGCACATGCTAGACTGATTCAGCCCAGCCAGACAGCCAGCCATAGAGCTACACATGCTAGACTGATTCAGCCCAGCCAGACAGCCAGCCATAGAGCTACACATGCTAGATACTGCTCCAGCCCAGAGCGCAAGGCATCATCATAAAGCAGTATGGCAGTCACTCAAATAATATAGTCACTCCAAACGTCACTACAGTCACTCCAAACTATTCCCAGTCCTACTAATGTAGGACAATACTACAATACTTCTTATACAGCAAATACTGCAATCATACTACTACTAAACTTGTTCAGATGTGCTTTAGCCAACTATACTGAACAAAAAATATAAACGCAACATGCAACAATTTAAAAGATTTTACTGAGTTACAGTTCATATAAGGAAATCAGTCAATTTAAATAAATAAATTAGGCCCTAATCTATGGATTTCACATGACTTAGAATATAGATACAGTGAGGGAAAAAAGTATTTGATCCCCTGCTGATTTTGTACGTTTGCCCACTGACAAAGAAAAGATCAGTCTATAATTTTAATGGTAGGTTTATTTGAACAGTGAGAGACAGAATAACAACAAAAAAATCCAGAAAAACGCATGTCAAAAATGTTATAAATTGATTTGCATTTTAATGAGGGAAATAAGTATTTGACCCCCTCTCAATCAGAAAGATTTCTGGCTTCCAGGTGTCTTTTATACAGGTAACGAGCTGAGATTAGGAGCACACTCTTAAAGGGAGTGCTCCTAATCTCAGTTTGTTACCTGTATAAAAGACACCTGTCCACAGAAGCAATCAATCAATCAGATTCCAAACTCTCCACCATGGCCAAGACCAAAGAGCTCTCCAAGGATGTCAGGGAGAAGATTGTAGACCTACACAAGGCTGGAATGGGCTACAAGACCATCGCCAAGCAGCTTGGTGAGAAGGTGAACACAGTTGGTGTGATTATTCGCAAATGGAAGAAACACAAAATAACTGTCAATCTCCCTCGGCCTGGGGCTCCATGCAAGATCTCACCTCGTGGAGTTGCAATGATCATGAGAACGGTGAGGAATCAGCCCAGAACTACACGGGAGGATCTTGTCAATGATCTCAAGGCAGCTGGGACCATAGTCACCAAGAAAACAATTGGTAACACACTACGCCGTGAAGGACTGAAACCCTGCAGCGCCCGCAAGGTCCCACTGCTCAAGAAAGCACATATACAGGCCCGTCTGAAGTTTGCCAATGAACATCTGAATGATTCAGAGGAGAACTGGGTGAAAGTGTTGTGGTCAGATGAGACCAAAATCAAGCTCTTTGGCATCAACTCAACTCGCTGTGTTTGGAGGAGGAGGAATGCTGCCTATGACCCCAAGAACACCATCCCCACCGTCAAACATGGAGGTGGAAACATTATGCTTTGGGGGTGTTTTTCTGCTAAGGGGACAGGACAACTTCACTGCATCAAAGGGATGATGGACGTGGCCATGTACCGTCAAATCTTGGGTGAGAACCTCCTTCCCTCAGCCAGGGCATTGAAAATGGGTCGTGGATGGATGGGTAATTCCAGCATGACAATGACCCAAAACACACGGCCAAGGCAACAAAGGAGTGGCTCAAGAAGAAGCACATTAAGGTCCTGGAGTGGCCTATCCAGTCTCCAGAAAATCTGTGGAGGGAGCTGGAGGTTCGAGTTGCCAAATGTCAGCCTCAAAACTATTAATGACTTGGAGAAGATCTGCAAAGAGGAGTGGAAAAAAATCCCTCCTTAGATGTGTGCAAACCTGGTGGCCAACTACAAGAAACGTCTGATCTCTGTGATTGCCAACAAGGGTTTTGCCACCAAGTACTAAGTCATGTTTTGCAGAGGGGTCAAATACTTATTTCCCTCATTAAAATGCAAATCAATTTATAACATTTTTGACATGCGTTTTTCAGGATTTTTTTGTTGTTATTCTGTCTCTCACTGTTCAAATAAACCTACCATTATGTCTTTGTCAGTGGGCAAATGTACAAAATCAGCAGGGGATCAAATACATTTTTTCCCCTCACTGTATGCATCTGTTGGTCACAGATAACTTTTTTTTTTAAAGGTAGGGACGTGGATCAGAAAACCAGTCAGTATCTGGTGTGACCACCATTTGCCTCATGCAGCGCGACATCTCCTTCGCATGGAGTTGATCAGGCGGTTGATTGTGGCCTGTTGAATGTTGTCCCACTCCTCTTCAATGGCTGTGCGAAGTTGCTGGATATTGGTGGGAACTGGAACACACTGTCGTACACATCGATCCAGAGCATCCCAAAAATGCTCAATGGGTGATACGTCTGGTGAGTATGCAGGCCATGGAAGAACTGGGACATTTTCAGCTTCCAGGAATTGTGTACAGATTCTTGTGACATGGGGCTGTGCATTATCATGCTGAAACATGAGGTGATGGTGGCGGATGAATGGCACGACAATGGGCCTCCGGATCACATCACGGTATCTCTGTGCATTCAAATTGCCATCAATTAAATGCAATTGTGTCCATTGTCCATAGCTTATGCCTGCCCATACCATAACCCCACCGCCACCATGGGGCACTTTGTTCACAACGTTGACATCAGCAAACCGCTCGACCACACGGCTCCTTACATGTGGTCTGTGGTTGTGAGGCCGGTTGGACATACTGCCAAATTCTCTAAAACGACGTTGGAGGCGGCTTATGGTTGAGAAATGAACATTCAGTTTTCTGGCAACAGCTATGTTGGACATTCCTGCAGTCAGCGTTCCCAATTGCACGCTCCCTCAAAACTTGAGACATCTGTGGCATTGTGTTGTGTGACAAAACTGCACATTTTAGAGTGTCCTTTTATTCTCCCCAGCACAAGGTGCACCTGTGTAATGATCATGTTGTTTAATCAGCTTATTGATATGCCACACCTGTCAGGTGGATGGATTATCTTGGAAAAGGAGAAATGCTCACTAACAGGGATGTAAACAAATTTGTGCACAAAGTTTGAGAAAAATAAGCCTTTTGTGCGTATAGAAAATTCCCGGGATCTTTTATTTCAGCTCATGAAACATGGGACGAACACTTTACATGTTGCGTTTATATTTTTGTTCAGTGTACATGGCAGTACAATACTAGTTAGAAGAGTTGGCTAAAGCACATACCGATCTGGACCGGGCTAGTACTACACTACAATAATTCCACAAGGCTAGAGTCGAATGGTGTTGTTTAACATGCAGTTCCTCCGTAGTTAAGAAGTTATCTCCCCTCTGGGTCTCAGACAGACAGACCCTTAAATCAGGGTTTCTCAACCCTCTCCTCGGGCCCCCACAGACTTTTCACATGTTTGCTTTAACCCTAAACTGGCACACCTGATTCAATTAGTCAAAGGCTTGATGATTAGTTGACTAATTCAATCAGGTTTGCCAGTTTAGGGTTAAAACAAAAACGTGAAATGTCTGAGGGGGCCCAAGGAGAGGGTTGGGAAACCCTGCCTTTATGTGTACTAAGGAGAAGCAGTCCGAATGAGCTGTGGCAGTATCTATCCCAGGACAAACTAGAGGCCATTACTGATATGACCACACTTGACAAGTTGCCCCAGCACAGGTTAATGTTTCTGTCCTGCAGAGTTTTAATATTAAAGAGCTGACCTTTTCTAAGTGTCTCAGATGGCACCTTTAGACAGTAGAACATGGGTAGGCAACCCTGGTCCTGGAGTGCAGCAGCACTTCATGTTTTTAATTTAACCTACCTGGAAGACCAGTTGTGTTGAATTTAGGCAATCACTGAACTAATCAAATTAGCTCAGTAGGTCTGGTGTGGTGCCTAGCTGGGACAAAATCCTGCAGTACCTGCGGCACTCCAGGAACAGTGTTGCCTACCCCTGCAGTAGAACATCTTGCTGTTACACATATATTCCTATATATTGCACTACTTTTGACCAGAGCCCATTGTGGCCTGGTCAAAAGTAGTGTGCTATAGGGAATAGGGTGCCATTTGGGACTCTCCAGAATGGCCACAGTTCCCTTTTCCTATCCAATTAAATGTGTCAACATCACCATACAGTGAAGCTCGCAATCAAACCCCTGTGAGCACAGTCTTTCTCTTACAAATCCTGACCCCTCATAAGCGACTAAGGAGCCTTGACCATAGCTGTGTCTGGCTATGCTACTGGCCCTGTCCTCTACCCGGTACCTCCTGCCTTGTCCACCCTATCCCTCCTGTCCCCTGCCCGCTTGCAACACCTGATGAAGAGGGTGATTAGGGAACATGGAAATCCCCTACCTGGTCAGCAAGCTTCCCCAGCCTGTGAGGCTATAGCAGCAGCCGGAGGAGGAGAGTGAGGAGGAGGTAGGAAGGAAGGAGAAATTAGGGGGTGGAGGGAGGGGGGGTGAAGACAAAACCAAGTATGAGATATGTGGGTGGGGTTATGCAAAAAAACATGGGGGGGGGGGGGACAAAAATGTCAAATATAGAAATGGAAAACATGTTTTTTTTGAGAAGCAGTCTTAACTAATAAGAAGTTACGTTACGAACTAAGCTTATTAATGTTAGCCAATAGATCAATGTTAGGTTAGAACATTTGGGGACATTTAAAATACAATAACTGTTACATGATTACATCCATGTATACTCAAGTTAAGAAGCATGCCTCAGAGGTAGCCTAATACCTTATTTACAAAAAAAATTATAAGAGAGAAAATCTATACATGTTAAATAATTGTGATATAATACAACAAACATTTTCAACATGCTTCTCGATTGGGCTTTTTATCGATCTATTCAGATTTCATTGGTTGATTGAACAGATAATGTACACCCTGAAACAGGTGCAAATGGTATACTTATCTCTATCTCATTGACATTAGAATAGTAAAGCTTACAATTTGATATAATTAAAATAATAAAGCTTGCAAAATAAGTTGAATCATGTAAAAGAATGAGCAGCCCAAAATGAAAGCATGACATAGCAGCATGTGTAATGCTTATGGACAGCTGAGCTCCAGAGACATAGGGTACGTCCCAAATGGCACTCTATTCCCTATATAGTGCACGACCTTTGACCAGGGCCCATAGTCGTGCACTATTTAGGTAATAGGGTGCCATTTGGGACGCGCTGGGCTATGTCTGGTAATTGTTTGTTTTGATGAAAAGCAGAGGGCAGAGAGAGTGAGATATGTAGAGGATATCTATGCATGTTGGCTTTTTATCCTGTAAACCCTGATAGGAGGATATTACTGTAGGCCCTATAGGGCCTAGGGCCTGTAGAAAATCTCAACACTCCAAGCTGCAGATAAAATCTCAGACATCTCCATTTTCAGCTAGATCAGCTAGCATTATCGTACAACCCACTTGATGCATCCCAAATGGCACCCTATTCCCTATATAGTGCACTACTTTTGACCCTATGGGCCCTGTGTATATAAGTGTAGAGAAACAAGGAATACCCCAAGTCAAAACCCAATTTCTTTTTGCCTGCATCTTGACCAGATGTAGAGAAGACTTATCTTGTTTCGAAGGTATCATGTTTCTCATCAGAACCGCATGGCTGTGTGTGTAGGCTCACAGAGAATACTGTTGCTTCCCAGGTTAAGTCACACAAATACAGACTAATGACTATACTCCATTAAATTACATCCGATTAATCTCTCCCACCCCAAAAAACAAACAAACCGTAATGCAACTAGGGAGTTAACATTAAGTCTCTAAATAAAACAAACACAACTAATTTCCAACTTGAGGAAAAGGCTTTGCAAACGATACTGGAGCAGAGAGAATGACAACAAGAAACAGCAGCACGCCCTTCAACTAACACAAGACCACTGCAGAGCCACAATAGACACCCACTGGCTAACATGTATCAAAGAGCATGTTGTCTACTGTGGGTAGAAACATTGGTAATATGATCCATTAAATGTGGGATGCATCGACATCACCAGCGTGCTGGAGTTTCTTTTTATTCAGTCTATCAGAGTTCCACTGGCGACAGAGTGGGGGACAGACAGAGATGGTACCCAGAGACTCATTGTCAAATACTGAGCTTAGTAAGAGTTGCACATTTGATACAACTTTTTGAGGGACAGAGAGGACATGGGGTTTGTGGACTAGAGGAGAGGAGGAAGGTACTGACTGTACCTGCAGACAGATGGCCAGGTTGACTCTGCAGCCGAACGAGGTGCTGACTGCTCGTGGGTGGAGGCCCAGGTCTTTGAAGAGCTTGGAGAAGGACTGAGTCAGAGCTATCCTGGGTCTCTCCTCCGCCACCACCACACACGTCCTCACCCGCGACAGGTCCAGGCCTCGAGACTGATGGAGAGGGTGAGGGACAAAACAAAATGCATTAAACTGGACAAACCAGAATTAACCAGGCTGGATGAGTCTGGGCTGATGGACTAGATTGTAATCAAGCGGTCAATTAATCAATCAATAAGGCAATCAATCAATATTTTTACATTAGCAGTTGTCACAAAGTGTTTTACTCTCAGATTATTTGATCTTATCTAAGTATCATTGTTGTGGTGATTTGGCAGATGGACACTTACCTTGAGTGAGTCGGTCTGCAGGCCCAGGCCCTTGGTGCACAGCTCCATGACGCTGTAGGAGCAGAAGGTGTCCCTGACCTTGTATTGGCTGACAGCCAGCAGCCACAGAGCAGGGTTCACCTCCAACTCTGAAGGTGGAATCAGGATGGACTGGTGGCCAGAGTACACACTACAAAGTACACACAAGAGACAGAAAATATAAGCATACAAGTACACACTGCACACACACAGAGTGAGTACACACTACACACACAGAGTGAGTACACACTACACACAGGAGATGGAAACTGAGTTCTACACTGAGTTCTACATAGCCTGTGTGCACATAAACTTAACATAAAAACTTGACACTCTTCACACCAGTAACATGAGCCATTATGTACTTCCGACCACTACCAATCTAAACAACACACTTCACTACAGTATGTGTTCAGTGGCTCCATTTACAATGCAGGCCAGTGCCATATCATCAAGGCCGAACCAACCTCTGTAGTGCAGCTAGCTAGTAGCTAGTGCATTATACACAGTATAACAACTACGGCTAGCTTTGCATAGGCATCAATCAGAAACACTCCCAATCTGAAACACACGCCTGGCATATGAAACAGCTTTGTTCTTCAGCAAAGTCCTGGTTTTTGGACAGCACCCCACTGATCATATTTCCATATGAAGATTTGACAAGTTGAGTGATGACATGCTAGAGAGAGAGAGCTTCCACTGGGAAGGCGATTAGAGAGAGGGCCAGTGGAGAGTGGAGCAAAGCAGAGTGTTGTTACATCATCACAAGGAGACGGACAGCGGGCTAGGCTAAACACAGCAGAATAATGCATAAGGCTGCATTGGGTCTCCCCCCCTCCACCCAGGGTGAACATAGCAGGGTTTCTTCAGATCAGAGAGGTACAGGGGTAGCTGTGTGTGTGTAGGTAGTTGGGTACAGAAGTGCGTGGACACAGCACAGCCAGATGGACGTGTGACATGTTAGGAGGGTCCATCTCTCTCTCTGTCTCACCTGCAAAGGCACCAGATGACGAATCCCAGGCCGCAGTAGGGGTCCAGGCAGATAGCCACCTCACGGGAGGGGTACAGCTCACACTGCAGCTTGATAGAACGGCAGAAGGCACTGGTGGCAGTGTGAGACATCTACAAAGTCGGGATGACAAGAACAAACACATACAGATTACAAATATAGTTTTATCATTCTACTTGGCTATAGTTGGGTCCTAGCCAATCGCTGTCCTTGTCAAGCCAAACATGACAACCAGTGACAAGGAGTTGGCATGATGGCACAAACAGACTGGTGCTCTGGCTAACTTGGCTACATCACAAAACCAACAAATACAGCCTACATATTGGTATCATTTCTACCCATGCTGTCATCACATGCTCTTTACTAAACAATAGCCATGTAAACAAATGAAGTACAACAGGACTGTGTTTCAGTCATTCATTAAAAAAAGCTTTGTTTAGAGTTTCAATTGAACCGCATCAGAATTAGCAAACGCATTCCAGAAAACAATTCATGCAAATATTCTCATGAGCTGCTACTGTGAGTACCACTGCCTGAATCCTTGATCTTAATGAATGAATCAATTAATGGCAAAACAATGCCTCAACAAGCGGCTGTATATACGGTTGGTTAACGCTGTCAAAACTGTGTGTGTGTGTCTCCTCTCCAGTAAGCTGTTATTGTCCCATTATTAAACAACAGTAGTTCCACTCCAGCCTGAGACCTTGTTTAAGTGGCATGCAATTCCATCTGTATCCCAAATGCACCCTATTCACTATATAGTGCTCTACTTTTTCAGGGTTTTGTTATGGTAATCAGTGTACAGCACCAAATACATTGTTATTTAGCATGGCTGAACATTCCAACATCCCAAAGAGGGCATTTTGTTTTAGTAACCTACATAAGAGAGCCCCACACACCACAACAATCCTCCCCCACCACCTAAGGCAACATTATTCTTCAATGTGTTTATAGCAGGACGAGGAACAGAATAGACAATCGCCTCTTGGTGAAGATCAATACTCGCTTACAAAACAGGGAGAAAATCAACTAAGCCTTCGTCCACTGAGGAACTGATAGCAAATGGCTTCCCTTATTGACCAGTGAAAATATACATCTTTCACAAGATGCTTTTTCACTGGATTTCCTACTGAGCTTCGTCAGGCAGACAAAGGTTTCAACAAGGCCAGATTAACTGTGAACAAGACCTGTCATTGTATGGGGTTGGATCTGTGGCGCCAGGGAGAATAGTCATTCTGAGTGAGCACTGTAAAGTACAGTGAGAGATTCAGCTAATCATCCACAGCAGAGGAGGTCTGGGATCAATAACTGCTTTCATGTTTTTAAAATGTCACCACTATCTTTTCACTCAGATGATCACGTTCAAGTGTATGTAACACAGCTTGTTCCTGATTCACTTCATATGCTTTTAGAGATATCGGCCTCCCTGATAGGAGAACCACATTCTGGTTAGAAGTGGTTTACCTTCACTCCTGCTAGCATCCCTGTGGTGGACACACTGAAGTCCAGGTAGGCCAGTGTGTCTGGATTGGAGGGCTTGTACAATAGAGGAGGCTTCTTCTTTGGCAAATCATCTAGAGGAGAGAGAGAAAGGACAAGACCACTTATCACCAATACAGTTATAAGTAGATGATCGATTGGTCGCAAGATCTTTGCATCGGTGTCAGTTGTAAAGAAGTTGTGAGGAAAAACAAGTATTTCTTAAGACCGCACTTCTTCCAGAGCCTCTGGCTGAGGTGGGTAATGGATTCTCTCTGACTGAGGTAAGTGATGCAGTGTGGGTAAATGTAGTATCTTACCTGTGTCCAGGACAGGAGGCCAGGTCCTGACGTCCACTGCTGCCGACGCCTCCTTCGACCTCAGCAATTTACAGATCACCGCTGTGGTCATCATACACGCCGAGCGGCTCACCTGGGGGCATCCACACACGTCAGGAAAAACACACACGTTGAGACACAAACCTGTTAAGACACCCAAGCACACACATTGTAAAATGATCCAGAAAGAAATGCCCTAGGAGTTTGAGAAGGGAAACTCTGTCGCTTTGAGGATCCCGCTCTAATATCACCTCCTACGCGATGCGTCTCCTTCTACATTTTCATTTCCCTTCTCCGAATGAAGGTCAGATGTGATGCGACGACTTGATACATGGATGTCAACGAGGCACTTACCTCTACGATCATCTTCACCGTGGGCAGAGTGGTGGCGATGTTCTGGGGGTGCGGAGGTCGCACGGTGATTGGCACACAGCCCGCGTACAGGCACCCGTAGAACGCTGCGATCAGGTCAATCCCTGCAGAGAGAGAGAGAGAGAGAGAGAGAGAGAGAAATATGAGTATCCATCCCTCCGTCCATGAGACCCAGTGCTGAATCGGAGCCAGCTTCCAGACAGACAGCTGCACTCTCAGGACCAGGTGTAGTATTGAGCTAGCTGTCTCAGGGACAGTTAATTGAATCGCTCTCTCAGGCAATCACCCGTGTCAAGATTTGTCCTGCTTGACTGAGTTTCTTCATTATAGACCTATGGTTCACTCTAAATGCTTGAATGTCTCTGGCTCCCAAATACTGAAGGAGTTCCAAATTAGAGTTCTACCCTTTAAAACTTGGAACATCCAGTCCTGTCTCTCGCCAAAGGCCTTCAAAATGGATTTGTTTGCATCACACTGTGTGTGCCATTAAAGATCAGCACAATCTTGTTGGAAGTACTATTCGATCATAGTGGGATGTGGCTCAGGCCCTCTTGTCTTGTCAACACTGAATGCTTCTAGGTTGATGAATGATAACACAAGGAAACAGAACCAATCCCATTTGCGCGCCAGTTGGGTATAAATATTTTGATGTTTTTTATTGTCGCGACACATGATGGGACGGAAATCCTAGCTTAGTTTATCAACGCTAATTTATGCTGTATGGATGAGGCAGGTACCAGGTAGCCTAGCGGTTAGAGTGTTGAGCCACTAACCGAAAGGTGGGAACGGACAGGGACATGTTAATGTGATGCACAGTAACTGACAACACACATGACTGGTGGTGATAAACCCAGTGAGAGACATGTAATGTGTGTGTGTTTGTGCACCAGACGTACCAGGGGGGTAGACGAGCGCAACGTGTTCCCCGTCCTGCAGGTGTCCTCGCTCCGCCAGCATGGTAGCAATCTTCTCTGCTCTCTTATGCAACTGGACACATGACAGCGAGCTGGCTATTGTCCCCTGTGGTCACACACACACGAAAACACACACACACACACACACACACACATACATACACACACACAAAGAAAGAGTGACAGAGAGAAACAGAGACGGAGAGAGAAACAGAGAGAGAAACAGAGCGAGAGAAACAGAGAGAGACAGAGAGACATAAATACAGTGTCATGCAAAACTGCTGAATCAATACTAGAAAGCAAGAAAATTATGATTTACAGTCAACATTTTCAATAGGTCTTTGATAAGGCTACTTCAGATAAAATCCTGATAGGTCTCACTAACAACCGGCAACAAAGCCAACTATTTCAGTTGCTACTGCCATGTTTACAAAACATGTTAGGAGTCAGATGTGAACAATCACAATAGAGCCAGACCACACCTACCCTTGAGTTGAGCAGTGTGTAAAGCACATGGTCCGGAGTGGTCTGGGCCCTCCATTGTAACACTTCGGAGAGAAAGAGGAACTAAAAAAATACAAAGAAAGAGAAAATAAAATAAGCCTCCAGCTGGATGTCCAGGTCACACTGAGGGGTCATTCTTTCTCTGTGTTAAAATCAGACAGGAGGACAACCAGGTGTGTTACAAATCGCAACCTATTCCCTATTTATAGTGCACTACGTTTGACCAGGGCATGCATAGGGCTTTGGTAAAAGGTAGTGCACTATATAGGGAATAGGGTACCATTTCAGCCTAGGAGAAAGGTACAGTAATTAAAACCCTGAGTGCCAGTGGTTAAAACTTGTCTGCCATTTCACAAAACCTGTTAGCCTATTGAGGAGAAGATGTTACAGTCCTTTTCATATTAGAAGGTGACACACGGAGTTCTTAATAAAACATATCATTCTTGTAGCACAATGAACTGCGCTTATAATATTTCAACACTGAGGGCAGTGATTCAGTTGCTGAGAGAGAGAGCGAGACAGAGAGAGAAAGATAGAGGGAGGTGAAGAGAAAGGGTAGCCAGCACGCATAACACATGAGCTCCATATTGGTGCAGCAGATATAAAACATAGTGTGAGAAATAAAAGAAGGGGCCAAGTGTCTCAGCTAATGAATATTTCAAAGTTTCATCCGTGAGGAGTAAATAGCGTGGTGTAATTCATGCCTATTGCAGTTTGGTTCTGTGGGAGGCACAGAGCAGGACAGTTTGGAGTCTTTGTGTAATATTGCCTGTCTTCAGGCCTGCTTTTATAGTGATTAATTAGAAATTCAATATGCACCGTTTTATTCCACCGGGTCCAACTGCTACAGATAGAAGATCACAGACAACAGGACTTACTACGCTGCTCTGAACACCAGATGTGGGTCCCAAACTGGCACCCTATGCCCTTTATATTGGACTACTTTTGAATTAGTGCACTATATAAGGAAAATAGGGTGCCATTTGGGACACACACATGACTTACAGTACTTTGCTGCTCTGAACACCAGGGCCTCAGCAGAATCTACCCACCACCAACCTTAGCATGTGTGTCTAGTTTTTGTTTTTTATGCTGTGAAAATTAGAGCTGTTGAAAGTGTTTTGTTTTACACTAGGGCTCTTGCCATTAAGTAGGGACAGATGTTGTCCTGTTGAAACACAGTCATTTGATATTTCCTGTCTAATTCCATAGGAAGCCCTGTTTTCAACAGACACACAGAACAGACTTCTTCCTGTGAACCCACGGCTGCTTTCCAAATTGCACCCTATTCCATATATAGTGTACTACTTTTGACCAGGGCACATAGGGCTCTGGTCAAAAGTAGTGCACTACATGTGAGGGCTGCCTGAGACTAAGTGAAATCCCTCTCTGCACTCAAACAAACATTAAGACAGGAACTTATTCCAGTCTGCCAACGCCTCAACAACATTAGGAAAATATGAACACTTTCCTGATGAAAACATCATTCAGGCACTTGCCATAAGCCCTATGGATAATTTAGTAAAACCAATGTATTCTGTTTCATCTCTGGTCACAGGAAACGGTCCCACTACTGTAGAGTAAGCTACATATCTCTGGATCAGTAGGAGAGCGAGAGGCCCAAGCTTCATCCCAATTGGCACCCTATTCGGTATATAGTGCACAACATTTGACAAGAACCTATAGGGTTCTGTAGTGCTCTACATAGGGAATAGGGTGTCATTTGGGATGCAAACCCGGTATTGTCAGAGCTGCGACAACTAGAAGACAGAGACTGATAGAAAGGGCTGAGCTTTGTATTGAACTGTGACGGCCCACCCTCTCCTCTGAGATTCCTCCAGTGCTCCAGTGAAGCCTGAGCCATTCGCTCAGTACAGAATAGTACAAAGACCTTTTGTCTTTAATCAGCCCAGGCAGTCAGTGTCTGTCTGTGACTCAGATTCCAGGTCCTAGATTAGAATCAGCAGAGAAGAGCTTCATTTGTTAGTTAAAAGTCTGTGACTCCAGAGTTTAAGAGTGTTAGTCTTCAGTGTTATGTGACGAGGTGGTCAGTGGTGTACATTTTCAGCAACAGTAACATGAAGTTTACCACAAGTATTAGTTACCCTAGGAACGCTCATGTTGCATACATTGTTAAAACATGCTAGAGCAGCAACCGTTCCCTACCACACACACTGACACAAATTAATTGCTTGGGTTAGACATGGCTAGACAATCAAGCACAACAACAAAAAAAAAACATTTAATATAAAGGAAATGGAGCTACGAAGAATAAGAAAAACCCATTCACACAGAGGGCCTGATTTTCTGATGGATGAGCATACAGACAGAGACAGACAGACAGACGGTCCATCCGGGTGCGTTAAGGTGATGACGAGAGGGAAGCAGCAGAGATAGTATTATGGTTTGGTTGGCATGCTGAACAGAATAGAGGAAGGGATACAGACTGATGGTTGCTAGGGGGATTAGATCACATGAAAGTGTACATGAACAGTTTGAGTCAGAGGAATCCAAGCCACAAACAATGTCTGCGTCCCAAATGACACTGTATTCCCTATATATTGCACTACTTTTAACCAGACGCTATGGGCCCTGGTCAGAAGTAGTGCACTATATAGGGAATAGTGTGCCGTTTGGGAGACAGACAATGAGTCCTGTCCTCCTGAGGGAAAGTAGAAACAGAAGAAATATGTGTGTGTTGTGTTGTCACAGTTGTTTGCCTTGTCACTTCACATTAGATGGCATACTGGCCAAGCGGCAGCCTGATGGGGTAATTGATGAGATTTTTCTGAATTAGAGAAAGTATAAATAAATTCTGTCTCCGCTACGCTACGGCTACCCTCACCGTCGTTCAGCGCCACCAGCCAGGCACCACACATTCCTTTACTAATAATGACTTTCCACACCCCTGCCATGGTAAAAGAAAGTGCTACCAAATCTAGAGTCTGACAAATCACATAGCTTCACATCCTTACTGTTCGTACACCTCTGTATTGACGGTGGCTTCGTCCTAAATGTCAGCCTAATCCCTTTGTAGTGCACTACTTTTGACCAAAGCCCTATGGAACCTGGTCAAAAGTAGTGCACTATATAGGGAACCATTTCAGATGCAGCCAGGTTAGTCCTAAAATCCTGAAGGATACGTTCTGTTTGATTTTCCAAGGCAAAGTGAATGAAAACAACCAACCAAGACAACACAATCCTTCACCCAGACTCAGTTTACTAGTCTGATCTGCCATCCACTATGTGGCCCATCTTGGGAAAACCTGTCCTAGATATGAAGTAAGGGCTTAGAGAAGCCCAGACTGCATGCCAGTATGTGTGACTGGGATGTTGATGAAGGGATCGTTCAAACGCTCCGTGGAAATAGAGAGGAAGCAATGGAGACAAGAAACCTGGAGGCCTAGTATCAATACATAGAGCTTCTGCGAGAACACACCAAACTGTGTACCATATTCCCTATATAGGGCACTACTTTTGACCAGGGCCCATAGTGCACTATGTAGGGGATAGGGTGCCATTTGGGGCGCGGCCCATGGGTACCCTTACACACCCTATTATTAGGTATCTCAGAGACAGAGAGCCTCTTAGACTTATGTCTATGAAATCGAAAATACCACGGAGTAAAATGTCTTACTGTGCCTATGAAATATCTTAATGTGGTCTGTCTCAGTGATGCTTTTAAAGGATTTGTTCCATATTAGTCCTGTAACAACATCAGCCTAATGTTACCAGGACAGTTTTAGCCTTTAAATTGAGTCTAACTCAGAGTGGATCTCAAACAATACATCTGACTGGACTGCAGAGCTATGGTACTGTTGTCGGTATTGTTCAAAGCATGATAGCAGAGTTGTATATGGTCTGCTCCCTCCATACAAATGCTTAGAGATCATGAATGAAATAATATAATGAGAGAGATCATATAAACAAAAACATAGAGGATGTTACATGAAGCATTCAAATGACTTGAGGAGACTACAGATGAACAATGGTTGAACTACCACTACACTGTTGTGTATGAGGGGTTCAAATGAAACATGGAGAGCATGCCAGAATAAACCGGGCCAGGATGCGTCCCAAACGGCACCCTATTCTCTATACAGCGCACTACTTTTGACCAGGGACCATAGGGCTCTTGTCAAAAGTATTGCACTATGTAGGGGAAATAAAGCCATTTGGGATGCATCACCAGATTCAGCTAGTGACTCACAGTGGATGGTTTAATGAGTGTGTTGACGTAGATGAGTGTGTTGATGAAAACCAAGCCTTCAGAGAGCCACACACACACCTTTCTTGCCTGATCATTGTCTTCCATCTGGCCCAGGTCCCTGCCACTAGCCTGGGCAATCCTCTTCCCCGACACCAGGTTCCCCACCATCACAGAGGCAGGCCCGATCTCTGTGGACAGAGGCATAGGGGTGAGACATACATACCTACACACACACACACAGAGTCACAAACACACACACACACACACACAGTCACATACACACAGTCACACACACGTGGGGGTGGTCTATATCCCTGGCTGTGATCTGTAGTGATATACACTGGCTCACATTGTGTGTGTGAAGTGAATTCCCCCTAATCCCCAGAAGAGATTCACAGTGACAGGGTGGGCTGAGATTGACCTTGCGTTCAGAGGCAAATGGAACTGAATGGATGGGCCAATTGACTGGAGGATTCTACTCTGACAGAGTGCTTTTCAGACAGAAATGGCCAGAGAAACCTGTGCTGTAAAGGAAGATCTATCTAGGAGGAACACAGGCCAGAAACTAATGGAGAGAGATGACAGCTGCGATATGGGATGGGATGTGTTGGATCAGATGGGAAACATGTTACAATAGTCACCAGACCAGATTACAATGCACTCCCTGTACAGTTCTGAATGTGCATGATCTTAGTTCTACACCTCATTCAACAGAATAAACACATATGAAGAAGTTGAAATAAAATAATGTAGATATCGCTATCTCCCTATCTGTACAGTTTTATTTTTATATAAATCTATTACACATCTAAGTTAATCTACTTGCAAGTTCTGCACTGACTTCATTGAACCCAATAAAACCACATAAACTAAGGATTTCAATTAAACAAATGAACTATCAATCCCCCAGGCAGACCCACTCAGGATGGTGTGCTATGGTGTAACATAGTGTCTGACCTGGTTGTTTCTGCCGGGGCTTGGGCAGGTTGGTGACACAGGTATGAGGGCACATGAGGACGTTGCAGGGGTGCAGGGAGCCCTCCAGGAACAGCTGCTTGGTCTCTGACAGGTGGATGCCCCCCAGAGGGGTTTTAGGAAGGGTGTTGGAGGGGACTAGGGCCAGGCAATACACCCCCACCTGGTGGATCCCATCTATGGCCTGTATGGGGAGGGAATGCATGGGAGTGAATGAGAGAAAACTGACGGGCCGCGAGCGTCAACGGCGCGTCAAATGAGTCTATTTGCCTTGCGTCCACGCGGAGCAATGCTGGTAAAATGAGCTGATAAACTGTCCGAAAATAGACTGTTTGTGCATTGTTACGTCTGGAGTTGTGAAATGTGTCTATTTAGTGTTGATACGTTTAACTGCCAATGCCAATATTATGTTTAGGCTAGTGCTTATGATACATGGTGTAGCAATGCATGAATGCAACGACATTCGATACATTTATCAACTGGATTGTGTTTCAGAGTTACAGATCACGTTGTCAATTTCATTTCTTGACAGTAGGCTATCACTGTTTTAGCTTACAGCCGATTTGATTGATGATGTTCAAACAAAGTGTATGGTTAGTGTTTGCCTTAATCAAATCTGGTCTAGAGATTGAGTGGGTTATTTGTAGAAAAGGAATTAGAGGAATTGTTATGATCTTCGCTATGCTAAGTAGACTAAAGATGTAGTTTAAAATGTATTGGGCTGTGAGATATGGTCTATCAGTCAAATAGGTTACATATGAAAACAACTGCCTACCTGCGTTGATTTCAACTACAGGCATATAGCCTAGGCAGGCTACAGCTGGAAAACTCAAGGAACTCCCATTTCAAGAAAGAATACAACTGTTTACTATGGATTTTCAAGACAATTACAATGGCATATGCTATGCAGTGTATCTGAATTGACGCTCTCACAAAAATGTCACACCATTGACGGACGTCTTCCTGTGTGATTTGGGCTTTAGGGTGATGTGCGCCCCATAGGGCTCTGGTCAAAAGGAGTGCATTATAGGCAATAGTGTGCCATTTGGGACACACATTCAGACAGAGCTACAGTAGTATAGACATACCATATATTGCCTGTATGTGGAGGAACAGTGATTGTCAGTGTTTGAGACATGTAAAGTATGGCTAATGGCCAAATCCTAACTTCCACTTAAGTCAAATTCTCACTTGGTCTCCCATTGACATGAATGCATGACTAAGTGAATATTTGACTTAAGTGGAACTAGGTGATTAGATATGGCTACATAACAGTTGTAAAGAAAGTACAGACACCAAGGCCATGTGTAACTGGATCAAGAGGAAGAGAAAATGTTATAGTCTTTGTTTTTACTGCAATCATAAAGCTGCAGAAAGCTTTAATAGTGAAACCACAGTCTCCTTAGCCATGGACAGGAGCCCAGAGAGCTGGGATACAGTACAGGGCTTTAAATCAGTCTACTGGTGTGTATACTGTGTGTGTGTATACTGTGTGTGTGTGTATACTGTGTGTGTGTATACCTGCAGCACTCTACTCATCCACTGAAAACTGTCCTCCTCTGTAGAATCAGGTCTCTGCTCTGCCACCACCACGATCCTCTCATCATGTAACACAGTGATGGAGAACACTGCTATCCTGGAGCACAGAGAGACAGGAGACCAACCATAGAATTACATATAGAATGACTTATATGATCTCTATGAGACCAACACTGTTAGCAATTAGCACACTGCTATCCTGGAGCACAGAAAAACAGAGACAGAGAGACCAATACTGTTAGCATACTGTTAGAATTAGCACGTGCCTATCCTGGAGCACAGAGAGACAGAGAGACCAATACTGTTAGCATACTGTTAGAATTAGCACGTGCCTATCCTGGAGCACAGAGAGACAGGAGACCAATACTGTTACCAACATTGCATTAGCAGAGACACACAACATCAATCAATCAGTTACGATCACCATCCTTTACTCATTAAAGTAGTGTCAGGAGTTTTTCCAGTCCACTTGACTTGACCAAGAAATATAATCTATATCTAGGGCCCAGAGTCTATTCTATAACCAATATCTAGGGCCCAGTGTCTATTCTATAACCTATATCTAGGGCCCAGAGTCTATTCTATAACCTATATCTAGGGCCCAGAGTCTATTCTATAACCTATATCTAGGGCCCAGAGTCTATTCTATAACCAATATCTAGGGCCCAGTGTCTATTCTATAACCTATATCTAGGGCCCAGAGTCTATCCTATAACCTATCTAGAGCCCAGAGGCTTACCTGGTCAGGTCACATGTTCAGGAAAACTCCTGTCGCTATACACAACAGATGGATTAGAACCCACCTCCCCCTGTAGACAAACTTCATGGGCTCCACAGCCAGGGCTGTAGCCACGATGTCATCAGCGTTGTGCCTCCTTCCCCCCACCACCATGAGGCCATCCATCTTGCCAGCGATGAAGCACAGCCCCCCAGGACCCACGAAGCCCAGCAAGCCTGTCCTGGTGAAGGGGTACTCACTGATGGGAGCCCCAACACTGTTCATGGGGAACACCTAGAGTACACAGACACTCATAAAAACCTGCAATATACACACAAGCATCACATACAATCCCTGAAATTCAGGTGGATAAAGTGATGGTTAAATTAGCCCAATGGATAAATAAAACAAATGAATAAACTAACAAATCACATAAGGGTGCAATTCTATTAAATGAGTCTCTCTCCACTAATGGATTATAAAGAGCACTTGAGGAATGTGGAATGTGTTTTTAGAACTATGGGAAGCAACAGCAGTTGTTAGAGCCAATCCCCAGGAGTTCCATTTGTCCCTAGCCAGTCCCCAGAGGTAGCTCAACCCATAGCCCCATGCTGTTAGACCTTACCTCAAAGGTGTTCTTGGTCATGCCTGAGAGACCATAGTACGACGTCCCTGTGGCGATAGAACACACACACAGCTCCCCGATCTCATCTGTTTTGCATAACTGCGGAACCCCATCTGGTTTCACGACGCACATGAGAGCTGCAAGAAATTAAAAAGAGGGAAAAAAGAGGGGGAGGGATTGAGGCCAACAGTTCATTAGTAAACAGCAGAGAGAGAGAGAGAGAGAGAGAGAGAGAGAGAGAGAGAGAGAGAGAGAGAGAGAGAGAGAGAGAGAGAGAGAGAGAGAGAGAGAGTTTGGAGAAGTGAGGCCTGGCCCAGCTACCTCCTCTGATCCTGATCAAGCCAATGGCACTTCTTTATATAGTCACTGTATTACTCTGCAGCACATAGCTGAGGAGGAAACTGTGCGTGCGTCTGAAATGGCACCCTATTCCTGATTTAGTGCACTACTTGTGACCAGAGCCTTATAGTGCACTATATAGGAATAGGGTGGCATTTGTGACACAGCCCTGGTGTGTTCAGAGGTGGAGAGGACAATAGAAAGGTGTTGGGTGCTTCAAGACCACATCAACACACTTCCAGGAAGCCCTTAACAGAGGGTAGATGAGGAGGTTACGTTCATCCTTATCTGGTGCTGGAAGGAGACAGGTTAAGACAGGGGTAGGGAGGTGGTAGGGAGGGCCCAGGCCCCTGGGTCATGCCTGCAGGGTCTCTGTGTGGGTGTAGAGGTCCTATATAGACTACTATCAGAGCAGTCAGACACTCATCTGGGCACCACATGCAGGGGAAGTTGGGGCCCTCTGGTCTCTAGAAACCACTACACAGACCCCGCTTCTACCGTTGTCTGGCTGCGCCCCCAAATAACACCCTTATATACAGCCCATAGTGCTCTGGTCAAAAGTAGTGCACTATGTAGGGAATAGGGTGCCATTTGGGAATCACCCTCTGTCTCCATCCCTCCCACTAAGTCAGATCACAATAAAACACTCCTAGAAAAGTAGGCTGCTCTTCGCTGTGGAAAGCTCAGATGAAGCTTTATTATATTTTTTATTATGTATGGGTCAATATATCTTCTTTATACGTGGTCTTGCCAGTCAGTTATGAGGCGTCTGTGAGTAATGCCAGGATTTTTGTATGGAAAACAAGATTCCATTAGATGGAAACTCATTATCAGGATAAAGGAGAACTTCTGCTGTACCTCAGGCATACATTAGGTTATTGTGTGTGTTTGTGTCTGGTAAATTCAATGCATCTACGCACATTCTGTTGTCCGTCCTTGTTAGGGGCATAAGGCAGGGGCATAAAGCTGTGTTACGGGCATAAGGCAGACATAAAGCTGTGTTAGGGGCATAAGGCAGACATAAAGCTGTGTTAGGGGCATAAGGCAGGGGCATAAAGCTGTGTTAGGGGCATAAGGCAGACATAAAGCTGTGTTAGGGGCATAAGGCAGGGGCATAAAGCTGTGTTAGGGGTATAAGGCAGAAGGGTTGCATAATCTCCAATAACTTTCCAGAAATTCCCAGAAATACCGGTTGCAGGTTACCGGATTTCTTTCTTATTCCATTCTGATACCGAGAATCTTTCAACCAGGATTTCTGGAAACCTAGGAATTTTGGGAATTTGCAACCTTAGTGTGTTTCTGCCCTTGCTAACCTCCTGGCATGGCGGTGCCCACGTCCTGCAGGGTGAGAACAGACAGCTTCTCCTCAGAGTCCACCCTGATGACCCCGTGACTCAGACCTTGCATGGACAGCACTCCTCTCCCCGGGGGCTGGTTACTGTCGTCTGTCGGCCTATTAAGAAGAAGATTACTTTATTGTCCATTTACTTAATGAGCAACAGAAATGTGTGTTTTGCATATCCCATTGACCCTGGTAGACATACACATTCGTATTCAGTACATACCTACATGGTCGTTCTATATGAATTCAATCACTTTTTGACCGCACCCTTTTTTATTTAAACGAAACCTTCCATAAATGTTTACCCATGCTAGAAGTGGTCAGAAAAGGGGTGTGGTCAAAAAGTGATTGAATTAATCTAGAAGGACCCTATACACAGAGGTTGGTGTCAGAACCAGGGTCAACCACAGTGTAGTGCCGCTATCAACAAGCCCAAAAATACACATCCACCAATCAAAACCTGCATCCCATTCAAACAACAGCCAATTAGAGGGCTAGAGCTGGGGCTGTTCCCTAAGCAGATGCAGGAGCTCGACGCCAATGGGACAATGGAGGGCCATAAAAAACCAGCACAAAGCCATAATGGGGGTGATTTCATTAGTTACTGTGTGTGTCTGTGTGTGTGTGTCAGTGTGTGTGTGTGAGCAACAGAGGAGAAACTGCCATATGTTTTATTGGCATGCCATTTATTAGATTTGTGAGTTTGAAGCTGTGTTTGCTGGAAATAAAATCATGTAATTGCCACAGTACCCGTAATGGCAAGATGCATGTGGTGCACACAGTGAGCTTTTTACAGTGTCATAATCAAGAGCAGGGAGTGAAATCTCAAATTACAGGAAGAAGTTAATTAAACTTGCCCTCATTTGTGTAAGCAGTGGCTATTTGAAGTTGAGCTACACTATGTAACAGATGGATAAGAAAACACTAACCTTGAAAAACCACAGGACAGTAAACATAAGAGTTTTGTTTTAAGAGCATAAGAATATATAAGTTAATGCCAACGAGCGTGTGTGTGTGTGTGTGTGTGTGTGTGTGTGTGTGTATGTATGTATGTATGTGTACCTCCTGATGGCTACAGTGAGGGCCTCTGGAGAGCTGGCACAAGGACAGATAACCTCGGGCTTCAGCCCCTTACTCTGGAAAACATTGAGGAACGCATCACACGACGAGATGGACCCTGAGAGAGCGGAAGAGGGACAGAGAAAGAGAGAGAGAGCGGGTGAGAGAGATACAAAGAGAGGGGGGGGGGGGGGAGAGACAAAGAGAGAGGGGTGGGAGAGAGAAAGATACCTTATGTTAAGAGTCAATGTTGAAGAACAAACAGATATCCTAATCCTGCTACTACAGGCTGACTTGTTGACAGACTAGCTCATTCAAATTTAAGTTGTGCGGTTTTAGAGTGGGTTGGAAGCAATAGATTTTACTCCTGTGTGAGGAGAGGAAAACTCCAATCCAATACATTATACCAATCTAACATGTCAGCATTGTTTGATTATGTGGATAACTGTTACAGCAGGTTAATTGCAGGTTAATTGCTGTGGCACAGTTGATTTGCTCCATGCTTGCACTGCTTGACAGTGCCACCATAACCCTGTCAGGCTGAGCTCAGCTGTTGAGCACACATACTGTTCATTATCAAATGACGTTATCGAATTTCACTGCCTTCCGTTACCGGATCTCACTGCCTCTAAACCATTCTTACTCATTTGTTCCTTTCAATTATATTCTTTAGATTCACATTTAAAAGGCTAGCATTGGAAAAGAACAGCATTCCTCAACCCTTACCCTCCCCATAGGTACCTTTAGCTATATGAATGTAGCAGTGGTACGTGTGTGTTTTTACAGCACCAGTGGTAGATTACTGTAATTGTTCCATGGCAGCTGCTTGGTCAATTATATATCAGTCACACTATACTTCATTACAAGTCCCTCTAGTCGGAATCAAGACTAAAGTATAAGACATTTACATTTACATTTACGTCATTTAGCAGACGCTCTTATCCAGAGTGACTTACAGTTAGTGTATACATTATTGAAGACTACCTAGCCTAGATGACAAAGGGACATTCTATGAGACCTGCATCATGAACATGGACTGCCACAGAACAGAGTTACAGTTCTATAGTTTTACACAATATTTTACCACATCTGATCAATTTCTATAATTCATTTTTAGAGAGCGAGAGGCAGACAGAGAGAGAGAGAGAGGCAGACAGAGAGAGAGAGAGAGAGAGAGAGAGAGAGAGAGAGAGGCAGACAGAGAGAGAGAGAGAGAGAGAGAGGCAGACAGAGAGAGAGAGAGAGGCAGACAGACAGAGAGAGACAGAGAAAGACAGAGATAGAGAGAGGCAGAAAGACAGACAGAGAGAGAAAGACAGAGAGAGAGAGAGAGAGAGAGAGAGAGAGAGAGAGAGAGAGAGAGAGAGAGAGAGAGAGAGACAAAATGAGGTGGAAACTGAGCTGCACTTCCTAACCTCCTGCCAAATGTATGACCATATTAGAGACACATATTTCCCTCAGATTACAGAGATCCACAAAGAATTTGAAAACAAACCCAATTTTTATAAACTCCCTTATCTACTGGGTGAAAAACCACAGTGTGCCATCACAGCAGCAATATTTGTTACCTGTTGCCACAAGAAAAGGGCAACCAGTGAAGAACAAACACCATTGTAAATACAACCCATATTTATGTTTATTTATTTTCCCATTTGTACTTTAACTATTTGTCATTGTACACCTGTTATATACGTAAAGCATTTGAAATTCTTATCTTTTGGAACTCTGATGTAATGTTTACTGTTATATTTATTGTTTATTCACTTTTGTTTACTATCTACTTCATTGCTTTGGAACTGTTAATTGTTTCCCATGTCCAATAAGCCTTAAATTTTAATTGAAATTGATTGAATTGATAGAGCGAGAGAGAGACAGAGAGAGAGATAGAGCCAGAAGAGAGAAGAAAGAAGAGAGAGAGGAGAGAGAAACAGAGAGAGACATAGAGAGACAGAGAGAGAGACAGAGAGAGAGACGAGAAGCAGACAAGAATAGAGCAGAGAGAGAGATCGAGAAGATGAGAGATATGAGAGAATGAGTCATAATAGAGAGAGATAGAGAGTAGACAGAGAGAGACAGAGAGAAGAGAGAGACTAGATTATATATATGAGAGAAGAGATATAGAATGACAAATAGATAAGATATACAAATACAGAATTTATATAGATATATATATACATAGATCTATGATTATATATATCATAGAGATACATATATATATAAGAATAGTATAGATACAAAGAGATACATATATATATTATATAGAGATATATAGAGGATATACATATTATATAGATATATATACATTATATACAGTAGAATATACATATATATATATAAGACATATATATACATATATACTAATTATAGACATATGTATATTATAGATAGATATATATACATATAATACAATAATATATATATATATATATAATAGTACAAGATATACATAGAATCTGGACAGAGATACAGTAGTGTGGTCTTACAGGGGTTGGATCCATCGGCCACCACCAGCATGCGTAGTGAGCTCAGGTTAATGTCCCTCTGGTCCTTGTGGGCCACCAAGGCCCAGTGCATGTCCCTGGACTTTACACACGCCACCTTTGCTGTGGGATGGATCACACCATGGGAAGGATTAAGGACAGTTCACATAAAAAATAAAATAAAAAGTCAATCAGTGTGGTCAAAATGCAAGTTCAGTATTATAGGTTATTATAACAGCCCAATAACATTCAGAAGATAACATTGGAGTAACGTCAAAAGTGATATTGGTCAAAATGCTAACAGTGAAGTAACAGTTTCAACTGAATGGCGAGGTGGTGAATCCAGACCTTTGTATTGGCACACTTTCTGGATCCAGGACAGTGGGTTGACCTTCATCAGTGAGTAGGGTATACTGATAACATGCATCATGTTCATCACACTCTGCAACAGGAGGGACACATTAATCAGAGCCGTCATTACATGTAAGTCAAGACTCAATCAAGACTGGTAATTTTCAGGATTTTCCTAGGCTAATTAGAAAAGCTGATATGAGATCTCGTTGGTTAAAACACTGATGAATTAGTGTATGCACTATGCATCCCAAATGGCACCCTTTCCCCTTTATAGTACATTACAGCCCTATGGGCCCTTGTAAAAAGTCATGCAATATATAGGTAATAGGATGCCATTTGGGAAGCAGACTGTATTGCTCTAACTAAAGTCCCTCTGGCTACACATTAGAATATATTCACTGTTCGTTATAATTGGATTTGGGAGAACAAATTTAGCAACAGTGGTAAAAAGCCACTCTGATAATATAATTCCCATTTCAAGATGGTGCTCAATGAAAACATAGTAAGAATATAATGATCTTTAACGAGCCCTCGGAGCCCTGTGCAGACGTGTGTGTGTATCAAAGCCCAGCTGGAAGGTCCTCACCGTGAGAATGCCATGCCACAGCCCCACGTCCTTCTTAAAGTCTAATACATTCACAATGGTCTCAGCTGCAGGGGAGAGACACACACACACAGAGACAGAGAGACAGAGACAGAGACAGAGAGAGAGAGAGAGAGAGGAGACATAACAGAGAACAGAAGAGTTTAATCCAACAACACAGGCATCTCAAACAATAACCATGATACATGGCATGTTAGATTCTAGGTACACAATGCATGATCATTACTGTGAGAGATTGGGTTTAGTCACAATGACTGTGATAAGCACAACACCCAGACAAGTGAAAGATGGAGAGATATAAAAGGAGAAAGAGAATCCAATTGTAATGAAAAATGATCTCTCTAATGCATGTTCTATGTCTCCTATAGCAGAGTCTTAGTGCTATGACTTCTGTAAAATGGCTTATAGGAGAGGGCTGCAGAGTCCCACCTTCTGTGTATCCACAGGATTGGGTGAGGGCCTGACAGTGAGTCAGCAAAGCTATCCTCATCACCGTCACTCCCAGCACACTGCCGTCCTTACACGTCTTATACTGCAGGGGAGAGAGGGAAGAGGTGAGGAGAGAGAGACAGACCGGGGAGGGGGGGGGAGTGAGAGAGAGAGAGCGAGAGAGGGACAGACACAGAGAGCGAGAGACAGAGACAGAGCGAGCGAGAGAGAGAAAGAGAGATAGCAGGATCAGGATGCTGTGCATCACAGTCACAAAGCAGCAACACAGACCATCATTACACATACACTGTATTGCCCATTATTTCACCTACCTACTGTACAATAATGTTGTTAGACACCACCTGCTTATTACAGTACCGACAAACCATGGTTCATTTCAAACACTGCTTGTAAAGCCACACTACTGATAAACATCTGATTAATTATCAGTCGCTAGTATTGAGAATATCCATAATGCCTCTTAGCACATAATGTTCTTATTCATTTGTTCTGCCTCCTTTTTATACACATCCTGGGGTAGGGTAGTGCTATTGCCATGTTGTGAAACTCATATTCTGCCTTTAACAATCAGGCAGTAACATCCTGTCTCTCAGACCAGACCATCCCAGTCCTAGTAGACACACACAGTACTAGATCTGAGGACGGGAATGACAGTCTTTACTCTAATAAAGCCATGGTGCTGTCTAGGCTAGGCCTCCTCCAGTCAGTCTGATGAAAAGACCAGAGCTAGCTTCCATCAATGGGAGAAGATAACACAATATGAACACTATACTGACTACTGCCTGACTGAGCACACAGAGAGACAGACAGAGAGACACACAGAGAGACAGAGACAGCATTCAATCTGTCTGATGGTACCTCCCAAAATGCATATTTTTCCCTACATAGTGCACTACTATTGACCAGAGCCCTATGAACCCTGGTCAAAAGTAATACACTACAGTATATAGCAGGGCTGTTCAAATCTGGTCCTGGAGGGCCAAAACATTTCTGGTTTTTGTTTGTACCTGGTAGTTAATTGCACTCACCTGGTGTCCCACCTGGTGTCCCTTGTTTGAATCAGTCCCTGATTAGAAGTTGAAGATGAAAACTAGAAGTGTTTTGTTCCTCCATGACCAACATCGAACAGCCCTGCTATATAGGGAATAGGGGGCCATTTGGGACGCACCCTGACACTCAGGAATGAATAGTAGCAACATTCATTATTCACTGTATATTTTATCTCAACCTAACTAATGGGAGAACAGCACTCGAAATTTAGATGGATTATACCATTGATTTTCTATCTGCACTAACAGACAGGGAGGTGGAACAAAAATATTAAAAGGTCGATTACACTTCCTGATATTGCCTCGTTTTAGATTTGGTTCATTAAGAAATGCTAGCAGCCATGACTGAATTAAAACGTGAGTTGGTTTCGGGGTGTGGTTTGATGTGGGTGTCTCGTGTATGTTCGCAGGTGAGAAGAGTTAGCCAAATTATTTTGCCAATTAGCTTCAGCCTGCTGGTGTGCAACTGTGACAAAGTTGGTTTGACTTTGGATAGCCTATCTCTGGGGATAGTTACGGACCGTTAATAAATTACACAATGTAAATGGGACAATATTTTCATGTTGCATATCTTTTAGTTTAGATTAAATGCATTCAATATTTGTATATGAATTTCTACAATTTATAGTTGGTTTGAGGTTTTTAAGTAATTTACATTTTTAGCTATTGACCTTTGTGCATTGGTCCCTAACTAGCCCCATAGGGATATCGTATGTCAAACCAATTTGACCATGGGCATTACGATCAGGTAGCGTGCAGCTGCGCTCCGAATTTAAGATTACTTGTATGCTGCCAGCTGTGGGCAGGATTAAAATAAACCCAACCCAAGGAAAACCGTTATGGTACCCTTCATTCCGTAACATAATTGTTCCCCCTATCATCTCGCAAATCTGCTTTGGATGAGACTGACTTTATGACCAAAATTATCCTATTTACACTTTGTAGTCGATTTTGACACTAGAATAAATGTTTCTGCCTCATATCGATGTCATATAGGCCATTTTCAAAACGAGGAGTTGCTTTTTAGGGGCAATCGCTCTTTAAAGTTAGTAAGTCATTAGGCTAAGCCATTAAAACAGACTATCATGCTCTATATCTTACAGACTCTCTGAGGTAGTATTACATTGAGAAGAGTGATGCATAGCATATCCAGATCTCTGCTCAGCCTTACATATGTCTAGTGATGCATGACTACGAAAACAACCATTTTTCTAAAAGATTAAGTCCAGAACAAAATATTTCTGGAGATATTTTCCTTTGTAGAATTGACAAGGCAATTTCTTGTAAGCCATTGCTGAAAACATTTCTAGTAAATGTCCGTTTGAATAAGGAGAGGACTAGAAAAATGTGGGGACTGAGAAGGAAAGTACCTTGAGTAAGCCAAAAGTATCAAACTGGTCACTACTCATTACCACAATTTTGGATTCTGTCTAGACTGGAACAAACAATGGACCCATCCCAAATGGCACCCTATTCCCTATAAAAGTGCACTACTTTTGACCAGGGCTCTGGTCATATGTAGTGCACTATAGAATAGAATAGAATAAAACTTGATTGTCCATCCAGGATGGAAATGTTTCTTTCATTAAAAGGATCACATACACATACATTTTCACATCATACACATTTAAACCAGTCATGTTGCATACACTAAAAACATAGAGGACATTGATACATTCACTCACAACTGACCGCTGTCCCAACTGCACTGGATAGATAAGTACATATACTGATATAATTTACTTTGCATTTAGTAGTCCAACAGCACAAGGAACAAATTAATGTTTGAACACCGTGGGCATTCTGAATCACCGGCCAGGGGTAAGCCTCTCGAACTGAGGGTGTAGCGGGTGGGAGGGGTTGCCAATGACAGCCAGTGCCTTCTTTTTGGTTGCCTTGTGGAACAGACTGCTCAAATGTGCCTGTGGTCGACCAATTACTTTGCTATTCTGATCAGTTTGCTTTTGCTCCTCACGCTCAGATTACCATACCAGACTGTCATATTGAACGTGAGGATGCTCTCCACCAAGCTGCTGTAAACCCTCTCCAGAACATCCTGGCTGACCCCAAACCCCTTCAATTCCCTGATTAAAAACAGGCGCTGGCTTGCTTTAAAAGAAAATAGTCTGCATTCTCTGTAAAACTCAGTTTTTTATCAATTTGTGTCCCTAGGTATTTGAAACACTCAACCACCTTCACTGGTTGGTTGTTCAGAGAGAGTGGTTGGGACATTGGCAAGTTGTTGCCATTGATGATCAGCTCCTATGTCTTTTCCACAGTGATGTGGAGGACACTTGAACGGCACCATTCTTGAAGGTTGTTGGTCTGTTTAATATAGTTGTCCCCATCTGACGTAGTCTCTTTAAGAAAAAGTCCCACCAGAGCCATGTCATCCACGTACTTGAAAAGGCTCACATTGTTTCCTTGGATCTTCATCTCATTAGTGTAGATAGAGAACAACAACAGTGAAAGGACACATCCCTGGGGCACCCCTGTGTTCAGGGTCAGTTCATCAGAGGTCCCCATTCTTGAGGACCCTCTGTTGGCATTCAGATAAAAAGGTCCTTGATCCAACCTGCGAGGCCTCCGTTGACATTCAGGTCCAGTAGTCGTTTCAGCAGTGTGTGTATTTGCATTGTATTGAAAGCTGAACTAAAATAAATAAATGAAATGTGTGCATATGATTTTGCATGTTGAAGGTGACTAGTCACCATGTTCACCAAGGTCAGGGTAGCATCCTCAGTCCCCCTCTGTGCCTTATAGGCAAACTGTAATTGGTCCAGTTGATCTGCTACAGTGGGGGAAAAAAGTATTTAGTCAGCCACCAATTGTGCAAGTTCTCCCACTTAAAAAGTTGAGAGAGGCCTGTAATTTTCATCATAGGTACACGTCAACTATGACAGACAAATTGAGAAAAAAAATCCAGAAAATCACATTGTAGGATTTTTAATGAATTTATTTGCAAATTATGGTGGAAAATAAGTATTTGGTCACCTACAAACAAGCAAGATTTCTGGCTCTCACAGACCTGTAACTTCTTCTTTAAGAGGCTCCTCTGTCCTCCACTCGTTACCTGTATTAATGGCACCTGTTTGAACTTGTTATCAGTATAAAAGACACCTGTCCACAACCTCAAACAGTCACACTCCAAACTCCACAATGGCCAAGACCAAAGAGCTGTCAAAGGACACCAAAAACAAAATTGTAGACCTGCACCAGGTTGGGAAGACTGAATCTGCAATAGGTAAGCAGCTTGGTTTGAAGAAATCAACTGTGGGAGCAATTATTAGGAAATGGAAGACATACAAGACCACTGATAATCTCCCTCGATCTGGGGCTCCACGCAAGATCTCACCCCGTGGGGTCAAAATGATCACAAGAACGGTGAGCAAAAATCCCAGAACCACACGGGGGGACCTAGTGAATGACCTGCAGAGAGCTGGGACCAAAGTAACAAAGCCTACCATCAGTAACACACTACGCCGCCAGGGACTCAAATCCTGCAGTGCGAGACGTGTCCCCCTGCTTAAGCCAGTACATGTCCAGGCCCGTCTGAAGTGCATTTGGATGATCCAGAAGAGGATTGGGAGAATGTCATATGGTCAGATGAAACCAAAATATAACTTTTTGGTAAAAACTCAACTCGTCATGTTTGGAGGACAAAGAATGCTGAGTTGCATCCAAAGAACACCATACCTACTGTGAAGCATGGGGTTGGAAACATCATGCTTTGGGGCTGTTTTTCTGCGAAGGGACCAGGACGACTGATCCGTGTAAAGGAAAGAATGAATGGGGCCATGTATCGTGAGATTTTGAGTGAAACCCTCCTTCCATCAGCAAGGGCATTGAAGATGAAACGTGGCTGGGTCTTTCAGCATGACAATGATCCCAAACACACCGCCCGGGCAACGAAGGAGTGGCTTCGTAAGAAGCATTTCAAGGTCCTTGAGTGGCCTAGCCAGTCTCCAGATCTCAACCCCATAGAAAATCTTTGGAGGGAGTTGAAAGTCTGTGTTGCCCAGCGACAGCCCCAAAACATCACTGCTCTAGAGGAGATCTGCATGGAGGAATGGGCCAAAATACCAGCAACAGTGTGTGAAAACCTTGTGAAGACTTACAGAAAACGTTTGACCTGTGTCATTGCCAACAAAGGGTATATAACAAAGTATTGAGAAACTTTTGTTATTGACCAAATACTTATTTTCCACCATAATTTGCAAATAAATTCATTAAAAATCATACAATGTGATTTTCTGGAAAGAAAATTCTCAATTTGTCTGTCATAGTTGACGTGTACCTATGATGAAAATTACAGGCCTCTCTCAACTTTTTAAGTGGGAGAACTTGCACAATTGGTGGCTGACTAAATACTTTTTTTCTCCACTGTATGTACAGGGTAAGGTGCTTACTAACAACCCTTTACATGCATTTGGCCAGAAGGGGCGTGAGGGCCACAGGTCGAAAGTCATTTGGTGATTTGGCCCCTGACTTCTTAGGCACTGGTACAATGGTCGACCCCTTCCTGGAGTTTGGCACTGTACAGGTGCTCAGCAGGAGTTGAAACAGTCGTGTGAAGACTCCCTTGAGCTGGTCGGCGCAGACCTTCAGTACTTTGCCCCCTAGTCCGTCTGGGCCCAGTGCTTTGTGTGGCTTAATATGTGACAAGCATGAGGCCACCTCGTTCTCTGTTATCTGGACAGGAGAGGATTTGGGGATGCTCTCACATATTTGTTCACATTCATCTTTAAAAAAGACGGTGTCAAATCTTCCATGAAAACAGTTAAGGTCGTTTACAAAGGATGAACAGTCGGCCATTTTATTGTTCTCTCTTTTCCTTTCTCTTCACATCATTGCATTAAGCCCCTCCCATGCTTGACTTGGATTGGCTGTACAGAACCTCTGCTCCACTTTATCCTTGAAGTCCTTTTTAGCTTTCCACTTGTTTGACCTGAATTAATTTTCTTTCTCCTTTACAGCATCAGTATCTCCTTTCAGGAACGCAAACTTCCTTTCATTGAGGCACATTTTCAAGTCCTTAGACACCCAGGGTTGTTGTTGGGAAATAAATACTCTGACAGTTTTTGTGGTAATGACAGTATCCTCACAGAACTGGATGTATGATGTGATGCTGTCTGTCAACTCTTGGGGATCCCGAGTCAAAGAACACATCCCAGTCTGTGACATCAAAGCCAATCCTTGAGCTCCTCCCTACTCTCCTCTGTCCATACTTGAATGGATTTCTCTACAGGTTTTTCGCATTTAACCTGCTGCCTGTATCTCGGTAGGAGATGGATAACGTTATGGTCTGATTTCCCGATGGGTGCTCTGCACACTGCCTTGTATGAGTCCTCTACGTTGCCATAACACTGGTCCAGGATGCGAGTTGAGCGAGTTGGACAGGTGACATACTGTTGCAGAGTTGGAAGGTGCGCGGAGAGGGAGAGCGTATAAAAATCCCTAAGCACAAATACTGGCTGGTCAGCTGATCGTGAAAGCACAGCATTGAAACAGTCTGTAATCCTGTCAGCAGCTTCCTTATTGTTAGGTCGAGGCACATAGACCAGAATAATGGTAATCTGTAAAAATTTGCGTGGTAGATAGAATGGCCTGAATGATACAACGAGAATCTCATAGTCTCTAGTGCACACTTGTTCAATCACATTACACTGCATTGCCCAAGTATTATCTACAAAGATACATAGCCCCCCGCCTATTGATTTATGTGATGTTGTTTTGTCTCAACCTGCTCTAATAACAGTGTATCCATCAATGTTCACATCAGTATTGTCCTGCTTGGCAACATTTCTGTAAAAGAGATTCAATTACTTCTCCTAAAGTCCACTTCAAATTTAGCCCTTGCCGCTAAATCATCCAGTTTATTATTTAGTGACTGCACATTTGATAGGGTAATCACTGGGAGCGGGTGACGGCTTCCCCGCCTCTGTAGTCTGTTCCTAACACCACATCTTGAGCCGTGCTTCTTCTTAGTTTCCCTTGTTGGCTTTGTAGAACAACCATCAGGCAAGGCAATGCTGTTTTGGAGTGTGAGCTTTATCTCGGAAAGAGAGCAGAAACTCACAGGAGTAGGTGACGGTGGTTGACTTACTCATTGAATCCATACAACCTCCGGTAGTGATTGTAAAGTTTTTCCGCAAATTACAGTGATTAGGATTAAGAAGATCACACATGGCACGTACAATCCACTTTCAAACTTGCGACACACTTGGATTTAGACAAAACAAAATTGAGCGATATAACTATAAACAAACAAACAATTCACACAGGTGAGCTCAGTGTTTGGCAGCAGTGCCGAGCCCCCACTGGTATAGGGAATAAGGTGCCATTTGTGATGCAGACAACCCCTGTTGTAATGACGTTCCCACATCTTCTTCTTCTCTCCATTTCATTCTGATCTTTTCACTCACTTCACAATCAGCATAGAATATCTATGCCTCTGGTTTAATGACCACCTGGCTGCGTAAAAAGAGCCAAAGTAAATTAAGACAAATCACATTATCTGACTGGATCGACTGGTCTTGGACTTCTTGCGAAATGGCACCCTATTCCGTTTATAGTGCACTACCTTTTACAGTTCAGTCATTTAGCAGACGCTCTTATCCAGAGTGACTTACAGTTAGTGAGTGCATACATTTTTCATACCAGGGCCCAGGTCAAAACTAGTGCACTATGTAGGGGAAAGGGTGTCATTTGGGAAATACATTTGGTCTCCCATACAGAAGCAGCAACTGAATATCCAATCACCAGACAGACAATGGTAATCAAACCCCATGAAGCATATTGATCGGCAATCATACCAAACAAGTGCTGTTTGCGGTTAGCCTAGACATCCCTATGAGAGCTGTGCACATAACAAAGCATATAAGAAATTATCTAGCTGTAGTTAACCAATAACAGCAACACCTCTCTTCGTATTATGAATGATTCATATAATCAATATAGACTTCAGTCAATCCAATCACTCTGTGTTGTCAAGAGTGAGATACTTGTTAAACAGACCCAGGGGAATAGCAGTCAAAATCAATGGGAGAAGAACAGACATAAAAAAACAGCAAAAACAACATTATTGAGGTGATTAACTTTATCTTGGCACAAGGTTGGAACATCTTGAAAAACATTCACGTTGTTGCACAAGGCACAAGCAGTCAAAGACGTAACAGATCTGTGTGTTACCTCGATATAGGCTGTGTCGTTATTTGCGTCCTTGATATGGGGGAACCAGTCTCTGGGAGGTTTGGATAAGTGTTTGGATTCAGTCACAAACCACAGCAGCTTTGGCCAGCCTGGATGGACAGACAGACAGACAGATGGAATGATCAAAGAGAGTTATTAGGACCAAGAGAAAAGAAAAGACAACCATACAGGTAATCAAGGCATTAGAGAGCCAGTCACAATCTGCCATTTAATGTGATGTGATTTTGATTTGATTTATTAGGATCCACATTAGCCGATGCCAATGGCGACAGCTAGTCTAGTGATTACCCTGACGCGATCAATGAGCACTCATCCCGATTGATGCTGGGTCTGCATCCCTATGTAGTGCAATACTTTTGACCAGGGCCCATAGGGAGCTATTTGGGACGCATCCTGTGTCTGACCCAGGCTTCGTCCCAGTATCTTTTTTTTCCTTCTTTTTTTTAGGGGGTAGATCAGCTTTATTATTGCAGATAGATTGTAACTTCCATCAATGTAATTGTCTGCATCACTTCCAATCCCCCATATGTTTTTTTTCTCGCAAATATTATATACAGTGGGGGAAAAAAGTATTTAGTCAGCCACCAATTGTGCAAGTTCTCACACTTAAAAAGATGAGAGAGGCCTGTAATTTTCATCATAGGTACACGTCAACTATGACAGACAAAATGAAGAAAAAATATCCAGAAAATCACATTGTAGGATTTTTTAATGAATTTATTTGCAAATGATGGTGGAAAATAAGTATTTGGTCAATAACAAACGTTTTTCAATACTTTGTTATATACCCTTTGTTGGCAATGACACAGGTCAAACGTTTTCTGTAAGTCTTCACAAGGTTTTCACACACTGTTGCTGGTATTTTGGCCCATTCCTCCATGCAGATCTCCTCTAGAGCAGTGATGTTTTGGGGCTGTTGCTGGGCAACACAGACTTTCAACTCCCTCCAAAGATTTTCTATGGGGTTGAGATCTGGAGACTGGCTAGGCCACTCCAGGACCTTGAAATGCTTCTTACGAAGCCACTCCTTCGTTGCCCGGGCGGTGTGTTTGGGATCATTGTCATGCTGAAAGACCCAGCCACGTTTCATCTTCAATCTCACGATACATGGCCCCATTCATTCTTTCCTTTACACGGATCAGTCGTCCTGGTCCCTTTGCAGAAAAACAGCCCCAAAGCATGATGTTTCCACCCCCATGCTTCTCAGTAGGTATGGTGTTCTTTGGATGCAACTCAGCATTCTTTGTCCTCCAAACACGACGAGTTGAGTTTTTACCAAAAAGTTCTATTTTGGTTTCATCTGACCATATGACATTCTCCCAATCCTCTTCTGGATCATCCAAATGCACTCTAGCAAACTTCAGACGGGCCTGGACATGTACTGGCTTAAGCAGGGGGACACGTCTGGCACTGCAGGATTTGAGTCCCTGGCGGCGTAGTGTGTTACTGATGGTAGGCTTTGTTACTTTGGTCCCAGCTCTCTGCAGGTCATTCACTAGGTCCCCCCGTGTGGTTCTGGGATTTTTGCTCACCGTTCTTGTGATCATTTTGACCCCACGGGGTGAGATCTTGCGTGGAGCCCCAGATTGAGGGAGATTATCAGTGGTCTTGTATGTCTTCCATTTCATAATAATTGCTCCCACAGTTGATTTCTTCAAACCAAGCTGCTTACCTATTGCAGATTCAGTCTTCCCAGCCTGGTGCAGGTCTACAATTTTGTTTCTGGTGTCCTTTGACAGCTCTTTGGTCTTGGCCATAGTGGAGTTTGGAGTGTGACTGTTTGAGGTTGTGGACAGGTGTCTTTTATACTGATAACAAGTTCAAACAGGTGCCATTAATACAGGTAACGAGTGGAGGACAGAGGAGCCTCTTAAAGAAGAAGTTACAGGTCTGTGAGAGCCAGAAATCTTGCTTGTTTGTAGGTGACCAAATACTTATCTTCCACCATAATTTGCAAATAAATTCATTAAAAATCCTACAATGTGATTTTCTGGATTTTTTTTCCTCAATTTGTCTGTCATAGTTGACGTGTACCTATGATGAAAATTACAGGCCTCTCTCATCTTTTTAAGTGGGAGAACTTGCACAATTGGTGGCTGACTAAATACTTTTTTTCGCCACTGTACATTTTATGGACACAGTCAATTTTACAATAATTATATTTTGTTTGTTTTTACTCCTTAACTTCCTCTACCCTCAACCTCTCCGATCATTTTCATGATGTCCATCCGGTTTGCTTCTATATGCCATATCTTTCTAACTGTGCTCTTTCACAAAAGCTCTCAAACTATAACCTATATACTTATTATGGACACAGTATGCTTTACATTAGTTATCTTGTTGTTAGTTGTTATTAGTCCCATCCTTGGCGACAGCTAGTCTAGTGATTACCCTGACGCGATCAATGAGCACTCATCCCGATTGATGCTGGGTCTGCGTCCCTATGCAGGGCTCCCGAGTGGCGCAGCGGTCTAAGGCACTGCATATCAGCGCTTGAGGCGTAACTACAGACCCCTGGTTCGATTCCAGG